AACATCCACCCACGCAGACGGAGCTGGTGCATCTTCTCTCCCCGGGCTGAACACCCCAGCGCTCCAACACCGGCTGTCAGCTGTGTTTGGAGGTTTGGAGACAGGGCGAGCCAAGCAGCGCCGCGGACAGGTACTAAAATCTTTACACGTATTAAAGCGAAAAAGAAAATCACCTGAGGGACTACTTTTTTTTTGTGCTTTGCAAGTTTTGCACACATTCGGTTTGTGAAAGCTTTTGTATGTAGGTCCCAGACGCTGTTAAGATACATTTTCAACAAGGTGAAATTCAGGAAAAACAAAATAATAATAATAATAATAATAATAATTGCTTACACTTATAAAGCGCTTTTCTGGACACTCCACTCAAAGCACTTTACAGGTAATGGGGATCCCCTCCACCACCACCAGTGTGCAGCCCCACCTGGATGATGTGACGGCAGCCATAGTGCGCCAGAACGCTCACCACACATCAGCTATGTGGGGAGGAGAGCAGAGTAATGAAGGCGATTGATAGATGGGGATTAATTAGGAAGCCATGATTGGTGAGGGCCAATGGGAAATTTGGCCAGAACGCCAGGGTTACACCCCTACTATTTCGAGAAACGCCCTGGAATTTTTAATGACCACAGAGAGTCAGGACCTCGGTTTTACGTCTCATCTGAAGGACGGCGCCTGTTTACAGTATAGTGTCCCCGTCACTATACTGGGGCATTAGGACCCACATGGACCGCAGGGTGAGCCCTGCTGGCCCCACTAACACCTCTTCCAGCAGCAACCTTGGTTTTTCCCAGGAGGTCTCCCATCCAGGTACTGACCAGGCTCACACCTGCTTAGCTTCAGTGGGCTGCCAGCTGTGAGTTGCAGGGTGATATGGCTGCTGGCAAAAAAGCAAATAAAGTCTTGAAATGTGGGGGTTGGCTACAGCACCCACTATGAAGCGATTCAAAGTAAACTGCAGTGAGTACTGGATGGACGAAAGGAAGTTTCCTACACTGAACTTTCACCGGCTGTTGAATGTTTTATAGCCAATGAGAAAAGTCCAATTCAATGAAAAAAGGAGCCAACTAATAAACACAAAAGAATTAAACGGGTTCCATAAACGGGCTCAAACACATACAGGCACTCCTGATCAATACAGCGGCCGTGAAACTGATCGCCTGTGCCAGGGAGATGAAGAACAGGCGCCTTCTACCTCTTCAGCTTCCAGCCACGACAACACTGGTGAATCCGAAACTCCTCAAGCGAGGGAGATGGAGGGGGGAGAGAGAGAGAGAGAAAGACAGAGGTGGGGAAGTAAAACTAAAGTAGGTCGCCTCATCAGTCCCTCGCCGATACTGCACTTCCCTACAGAACGCGCACTCTTCAGATGAATTATACATCAGACCGAGGGCAGCCTGAGAGAGCTGTGGAGCCCAGGCCTGCAGCCTCATGCCAAGCTGTGACACGTTACAGGGCTCGCACCCCCATCTGGACACACCCCCCCCCATCCCCTGCACTTCACTTGCCAGGATCCACACTTGATCTTCCTCTTCTCCTCCTGCAGGGCAACTTCAAACGGTTTGTAACCCAGCGCTTGGCATTTCCGGAGGCGAAACTCTAGCTCTTACAGAGAGAGGGCTCGATGCGTCTGGGCTGTTAGCTGTCGGTCAGTTCGGTGCAAAGAGGAGGTTCCGTAGCACTGATAAAAACATTGCTCCCTTAGCCTTTAAACAGCAGCTACGACAACAGCTGTGCACGTCTGCCTCCGAGACCTAGGAGATACAGTATGGACAATGTCTCTATGTTGCTGCCCTCCTTTTTTTGAAATCATTTTTAATTTATAATTCTCATAAATCCTCATGCTCACCTATGAGGCTCTGCATGGCTGGGCACCTCAGTACCTGTCTGAGCTACTATCGTCCTACTCTCCACCTCACAACATTCGCTCTTCTAATTCTGGTCTCCTAACTGTCCCCCCAAGCCCGTCTACATTGTATGGGTGACAGGGCCTTTTCCTGTTATGCCCCAAGGCTCTGGAATTCTCTCCCCAAGGATATCGGAGAATCATATTCTCTAAACTCTTACAAATCAAGAGCTTTTACTTAACTGGTTCTGTTCTCTACCCCTCTGCTCCTACTGTACTTAGTACCACCATCTACGGTCTCCTCTAACTGTGCATTGTCATCATGCATATCTTGTGTATTTTTTTTAGCTGTTGTTTCTATTCTGTCAAATGTACACCTTTAAAGGCTCTACTTATAATAAATATATTTTTTCTTCTCATTACTATTGTTGTTTTTGGTTTCAAGACGTATCTGACCCTGTTAATTTAGAATGTCCATCCAAATGAGAAATACATAATAGTTAACAATATAAAATCAGGAGCACAGGACCAATGTACATTGGATTTCGTTTTTAACCTGCAAGTTTAACATCAGTACACTTCACAACATGGCTGTGCTGTAACAGAAGAGGGCCCAGTTACAGCTCAAGTCATGACAATTGTGTCTCTTCTTTTTTTGTTGTTGGTTTTGAATGCCCAGCCAAAACCAAGAGAGCTTCAAAACAAGAAGCTGGGCTCGGGACTCTCCAAGAGACGTGTTCATGTCAGTTCTCGTTAATTCAAGGCCTCTGTACTTCACACTAAGTGCTCAAGCAATGTTCCTCTTTAAATTATCCCAGCAAGCCTTTTATTTTTTCAATTTGTCACAAACGGTTTTATTTCACTAGCTCCTGTGAGTTATGACAGTGCTGGATGTGGAGCTATCGAGCTCCCTGCTCTGTTGCTACCTTGACATTTGCCTCCAAGCCTCCCTTGTGCCAAGCGTTACTTGAGCCAGCAAAAAGTGGGGAAAAAAAAACAGCCCGTAATATTTCAGCACCATCCTCAACTGATGCTCTGTTGCCATAAAACTTTGTGACTTTTATATCCCTCGAGCACCTTGGAACAGATGCTTGAGAAAATGGCATCGCCTTCAAAAGGTTTAAATCACAGCACTCGGAAAGAAAGCTGCGGAAAAATAAAGTGTTATTTATGGGATAACTTTTTCTGCAAAAGCAATCCTAAAAAAATCAATTATTTTTTTCCCTAGGCCGTTCTAAAAAACAGGTGCTTTTAGGACACCCTAACACCTTGGTTTCTTGTATAAAATTCCTTTAATGATCTGCCTGCCACCAGGTGATTGTAACTCTTTATAGGGGATACAGAATACCAGTGTCTAAAGCAGATCAATTCGCATTTAAAAACTTGTGGTCTCTCTAGACCAAAGGTGATGGATTAAATAATTCTGCCATCCAAGAGGCAGGATTACATTCACAATAAAAGACGGATTCTTCCTGGAAATAAGCCTTTGCTTCTCCTCGGACACAGTGGAAACAACCTGCTTTAAGATCCAGTGGGACTGCAGCCCAAAAAACACCCTACCAGAACCCAGGCCGACAGACCAGCATCATTTCTCTCCTCTGTCTTCGAAGGAAAACCTCAAGCAAGGCACAGTCTGACCGGTTTATCTACCCAAACCGTTGCTCCAGCTGGTTGGCTAGTTTACCCAGAACCAATTTCTGATTTCCATGGTGGGTCCCAAAATCAGAAGCCCAAGAGACCTGACCCTGTTCATAAAATGCAGATGTATATTAAAAAGCCAGCAAGTCTGCATTCAAAGCCATCACTTGGTTTAGCAGGATGTACAGTACATGAGTCAGCCTCTCTCTCGAGAAGATTACATCTGACTAGAGCCTTAGACCATATACTAATGTATAGTTAATGATCTTAACTATACTGGCACGACTTCTCTTGTGATCACACCCGAAGAGCCGTGGTTTATCCATTAAGCTCGCATGCTTCTACACTGGAAAAAAAAAAAGAATACTTCTGCCTTCCAATATGCTATATGTGGAAATATAATCTACACAAAACAGAAAAATCTGTGCTCAATACTTTTAGCCGATCATCGGGATGATGCCTCTTCCTAAATCAAAAACTGGATGACTTGTCCTTGTCATCCTGCGGCACGCTCAGCAAATTTACAAGGCTCGCCACGCTTACAGGTCTTCTCTGGACATCCAGACCAATCTATCCATGCACCGAAGCTGCCATTCATTAATCTACAGGGGTCTTCAACCTGGCTCCTGAAGAGCCCCGATCCAGCAAGGTGACCTTTACTGAACAATTAACCTTTATATATATATACCTGAAACAATTTAAAGGGGATCTGTAGGCGCAATTTCTCAGACAGGTTATTAAATCTTGGAAACAAAATAAACTGGTTGACGGTGGAGAAACATTTCACAAATGTCGAACCAAGCACAAAATTGTGACCTTAGTGAAAGTGCTGTCACCATGTTGGTGCAAATCACTGGTCTCACCACGTTCCCATGAATTGCAAAGTGATGTCAGCCCTTCCCGCTCGCTAGTCACTGTGACCATATGACCAAGGCAAGGCGATGCAGAGTGAATAAGTACAGGTTGGGCAGCAGACATTTCGCCGCAGAAATGTGATCTTCAGAATTCAGAAAGTAGTATTTGTCGGCAAAACCGTCTCAAAGTGGATAGCAAAACTGGAGTAAAATTGGAGTAAAAGAGATGTATTCACAAGCCTGCTTCTTTACAGTGCAATAAGGCAGCATCATGTCACTGGAAGTCCTGTTGCCTCGTACTGAATCGCAGAATATGGCGCTGCGCAGACCTGGAAAGTCTTTTTGTGAGGTTTTACATGTTACTGTGTATATTTTACTTTCATGGTGGTTTGAAATGTGTTCTTCAATGCCTGATTCTTTCGAACCCCAAAATATAAAAATAGTATCGCAGTTCCCCGTTAACCGCACTCAGTGAAACAGATAACGCTGAATTGATTTAGCATTTCGAGTACACTTCAGCCCTAGAGGAGACACGTTCAGCCCTGACAGACAAGAGTTCCCTTAACTTATCTTTAAAAATAAAACAGCTGATCCAGGGTGACCCATGGGACCAGCTGGACTGGAGGCCCCCAGGAGCAGGAGGGAGCCCCGTTATCTCTGCTCACCTTGTCACAGTGCAGCTCCAGGTTGACGTCCCCCTTGTTGGTGTGCAGCCTGACGTAGCCCTTCTTCTTGACGTACTGGTAGCGCACAGCATCATCTTCAATAGCATCTGCCCAGAGAGAGAAAAACAATCAATCAATTCTCTTCCCGTATAAAGAGACTCTCATATGGCGCCTTCCAATCCAGAGCGTTCTCAAGATGCATAAAAAAGTACAGCGATTACAAAACACAATAAAAGAAAGAAAAAGTTTTGAGGTGAGATTTAAGAACATGAACAGAGGCCGCATGTTTAACGTGGTCACGAAGAGTATCCAAACATACAAAACATATACAAAAAAGAGCTGAACAGGCCTAATGCAAAACGTGAGCCAGGTCGTCTCAGATCCCAAAAGCCACAGGACTTCCATCTTGCAGGGCCTAGGCCTGCAGGTCAACCTTTGAACTCTGCTTCAAGTTCGGGGGGGGTCACCCAATATCATAATTAATGATGTGCAATTTTTTTATAGTGCCTTTCATCCCAAAAGATGGCGAAGCATTTCTCCCATACAGAATGGACCCCACTTCACCCCCCACCAGGGCAACGCACAGCAGTTCGGAGGGAGTCGACAGAAACTGCCTCACCTTTCAACACGGGGGGGGGGGGGGGGGCTGGGGGCCCCAAAAAAAGGAACAGCCTTCTACTTTATTGCTGCTGATACCACTGCTGCAGTGCTAGCCAGATCCAACACACAACCCCCTGAGACGGCCTGCGTCTCGGAGATAGGCCGGTGCATCAGAAATCGAAAGAAATACGGGCCGACTGCTGGTGCTCCAGTGTTCCAGACGCTGTTTTTTTCGAAAATCAAAACCACTTTCATGCTGCCCAGGCTCCCTGTGATGCCTGCAGACCCAGATCTCTGCTCTGCGACCGGAGAGGGGAAGCTCCAGGCCGCGGTCTGGTGGGTTTGTTTTTCTGGTCATAAACCACAATGCTTGGAAGCTGGGAGAAAAGGAAAGTTACCATGGAGAAAAAAAAAATATTTAAAAAAAAAAACACACATCGCCCAGAGAACTGCCAAATACTGCAGCCTCACCTCGGAAAGCTGGGAAGATCAGGTCTCGCATATTTAACTCTGCGCTGGCCAGAAGGAACGGTGAAGGGCGGATGGTGCACAAGGAAGACTGTGAGACGCTCGGCCTGGTTTCTATACGGTGTTACTACATCGCACCAGGATGCAGTGCGGAACGCCTAAGACTGGGCCCCTAAAACCGAAAAAGGGCTCTGGAAGAACGAAAAGGTTCACTCAGCGCTTACCCACAGACGGGAAATGGCCCGACAGCTCGAGCTGCTGTGGGTCAACGCCGAGTGAACCTTTTCGGCTCATTGAGCCGCAGTCCCGATTTCCCAGAAAGGTTCTAAAATCTTGGTAACAAAATTCATCGACGGTGTCGGGAAAAAAAAGAACACATTCTGAACTAAACACAAAATCGTGAACTTTGTGAAAGTACTGTAAGTCGCCATGATGTCGCAAACTCGCATTCGAGTTCCCACCACTTGTGACGGGACGCGGCCCTTCCTGCTCACTAGTCTCTGTAAGGAGTAATGTGATGTGAGAGCTAATTAGTCCAGGTTGTGCGGCGGACATTTCACTGCAGAAATGGTCCAACCTGATCTGCAGGGAGAGTTAACAAGTAAGTAGTTTTTAGTAGTGGAGAGCATTATATTAATATTGGATTAAAGAGTTGCATTCATAAACCTAACAAGCAGTATTTAACAGCAAAACCATCTTGAAGTTGAGAGCAATATCTCTATTGGATTAAAAGAGATTAATGCACAAGCCTGCTTGTTTACAGTGTAATAGGAAAGCAACACATCACCGGGGCAGAGTGGTGGCTCTGTGGCTAAGGATCTGCACCTGTGGCTGGGAGGTTGCCGGTTCAAATCCTGCACCCGGCAGAGGGTGCCTACTCCGTTGGGCCCCTGAGCAAGGTCCTTAACCCCAACAGCTCCAGGGGCGCTGTACAACGGCTGACCCTGCGCTCTGACCCCAAGCTTCTCTCCCTGTCTCTGTGTCTCATGGAGAGCAAGCTGGGGTTTGCGGAAAGACAAATTCCTAATGCAAGAAATTGTATAGGGCTAATAAAGTGATGTTATGTTAAATGTTGTCACCTCCTTCAGAATTGCAGAACATGGTGCTGCAAATACCTGGAAATTGAGTCTATTTCGTGATGTACATTTTTCCATTTTACTTTTATTGTGGTTTGAAATCCGCTCATCCATGCCCGATTCGAACCCCCTGAAATATGAAAATAGTGCTGCAGCTCCCCTTTCATGCTGAACATCTAATTACCTGCTTCGTGCGTGGTCTCGGGAGCCATGGCGGTGGAGGTGAAGGAGGCAGACACCCTCCCCGTGGAGTAGTGGGCCTGTGAGGAAAGACGGGGAGGGAGAGTTTGTCATCCGGCCTCTGTTATCCTGTTACCTCCCCCCAGCACCTGTCTGTCCGTCCAGCTGCTCCTGGAGGCCTGATGAGGCTCAGCCGTAGAAGCAATGAGGAACGCTTTGCTGAAGCCGCAGTCTGCTTTGCGGTAAAAAGGGCAAAACTCAGATTTCGAAGGGGTCTGACCCTTCCCCCCAGATTGATGGTGATTGTACAGCACAGAAGAGAAGAGAATCGCAAGGTTTCTTCCTTTACGCAGAAGAGTGGGCTTTATTTCTCTGCGAAAAAAACAATCACTGAAAAAGAGTTAAAGAAGGGGGAAAAAGCTGGAGAACATTTATCCCCAGCAGCTGCAACTAAGGGACGAGGGGGAAGACACCGCTGTCTCACAGAGACAGATAAATCATCCCATTAACCTGCAGTTCAAGCAAATTCCCCTTTTCAAAGATGTCATTTTTGCAATTACTAAGGATTCCACGATTCCTAGAGCACAAGAATGCAAACTGCATTTGAAAGGGGGGGGAGATTAAACATGACATACTGCACAGCCATACAGCTTGGGAGCTGTCCCTCTCGGCTTTTAAAGATAAAACAGATTTAAAGATTCATTTAAGATTTCCACATTGGTAAAGAGAGATTGGAAAAAAAAATGTCCTCTATAAGGGTCCAAGGTTGGAGATGTCAAGGGGATCGCAGTCAGCCTTCCTATCTAGAGCATGGGGTTATCTATGATTACCTTCTATACAAAAGATCTTCCTATAACAGACAGCATGCTGCATAGATCAGAAATCCCAGACTAACTTCAGGCTTTGTAATTGTTTTGATATTTTCTTTAAATGACACTTAATTGGGCTGCTTTTGATTTTCTTCATACTGAAGTTAAGGACACTGTTATATGTTCTCACTGTTGTATTAACAACATGTGCACGTAACTGTAAAAAGGTAAGTCACAGGTTAGAAATGCAGATACAAAAACCTTCAATTCTAAAACAATATATTCTCATAAGAATCTGCACAGTTCATACAGTACTGTCTTTCGGTTAACTGGGAAGCCATGTGCTTCTTTGTAAGGATTTGAATATTTTATATGCGGCTTCTGTTCAACAGAGTATGAGAACATGTAAAATTGGTCTACGTCTCTTACGTCTTTTTCCACAGGCGACAGAAAGAATTAATATTGCTTTTCCAAATCGACCAGTCCAGCTTGCAGCTCCAGCCTTGGCACTGCGGAGGACTCCATCTGCAGCAATCTGAGCTTAATTGAGCCTCCTATAGGTCCAGGTCCTAGACTTGCTTAGTGAGGGATCATTGCTGTGCCAGGAAATAAGTCAAAGCTGAACAGCCCAGTCATGTGTTGTTTCACTTAGAAAATGTGAAAGAATAAACTTTTCTCTGCATTCTTTTCCCTCTCTGCCCGGGAAACATTTCCTAGAACTTCAGACTGGAACAGCGTGGCCCAGCGCCTGTGAGCAATTCTCCTGCGATTGCTGCCAAATTCATTTTCATCTGAAAAGCATTTTCTCTAGAACCTAACCTGAAGGCCCCGCACAAATTCAGATTTTTTTAGCCGTTTCTACAGACAACAGCTTGAACGGCCCATGATGAAATGAAATTAATGGTCAAAACAAGCTCTCTAGCGCAGAACAACAGGAATGGACTGGAAATCACCATTGTGTTGCTGATCTTACAAAATCTATTTGGAAAGGCCTGGTTGAGCTTAAGTATCTTTTCTGCACTAAACACGTTAAGTGTTCTTTGAAAAAATGAGCTATAAAGACCCGAACTACATTATTTAAGGGAATATTTTTTGTATAACAAGTTACTCTGGCTGGTATGTGACTAACCCAGATAGCCGGTTACAGGCCTTGGTTCAAACAAGCCCATTTCACCAATATTGCGGGCTAGATGGACTTATCTTACCCCTTGGGGACATTTTTTTCACTACTTTGCAGAAACAGCCCTGAGGTTGTTTCCATAGCTGGTGTAGCAGAATGACGGGCTGGAACACAAAACACAGGAGCAGAGGGGAGTTCTGGTGGCCCGTCAGCTGGAACTGAAACCCAGGACAACCAGCAATCTCGTTCGTCCCAGAGAAAAGAAAACTTCAGAGGCAATAAACAAAAAGGAAAATAAAAATGGCTAAATGGCGGTGTACCGCTTCACAGCGCTGTGCTTTGTCTCTGCTTGCTCCCGTGCAAATACAGCGTTTCACACGAACAGCCTCAACAGCCTCGCAGTTCATGACACTCCTGAGCCACTCCTCCACTTCAGGAAATCACATTCCCGCGATAACTTTCAGTATAAATGTTCTGCACAATTTCCAGCGCTCGCAGTCACTCTCCAGAAAAAAAAAAAGAAGAGAAACCCAGCGGTCCAGATTCGACAAACAAACGAGCTGCAAATCTCCCAGGTCTTCACATTCTGCACAAAACAGTTTTTCTAGAACACCCTTCAAAGCCATTAAAGCACAGCCCGAACATAACACACAAAAGACGTTTTGAGAAGCTGTCAGGGCGTACAGTCCTGCCTGGAGCTGCTCCGTTTGTGCCTCCCAATCCCTCTTACCGCGTTCAGCCTGTCGGTCTTCTTTTTCTCGGGCTCTTTCATGGTGGCTGCGAGCATCTCGTCGCCCTTGAAGTCTTTGTAGAGCTCGGCAAGCGTCTCCCTGGTCTCCAGGTTGGCGTTCTTCAGGTGGTACGAGGGGTCCAGCCTGGCCTTTTCCTCATCTGCAAGGTGCAGAACAGAGAGCAGCTGAGCAGTGACGCAGGGAGACGCAGGGAGACGCAGGGAGACGCAGGGAGACGCAGGGAGACGCAGGGAGACGCAGGGAGACGCAGGGAGACGCAGGGAGAGCTCCAGCCCGGAGGAACAGGACCCTGTCCTCGGAACGCACCTGGAGTCCGGAGACCAGCAGCGCAATACGTGCCCCTAAAATGTAGCGTCTGACGAAACGACACAAATAACGTCAGAGCAGGCGCCTAGATCTACGCACCTGGATCTGGGACCTTCAGGTTGTTCTTCACGTGAAAGAAGTTGGAGACGTTGAACTTGTCCAGGTTTGTGGGGTCCTTGGGGAAAAAAAAAAGCAGTGAAAACAACCGTCATGACATGTTTTCTGGTCTCTTCAACAAGGTGATAGTTATGAAATATGCTTTAAGAAATAAAGCAATAACTGGATTTACTAATTGACTGAGAAACAACATGCGTGTAAGAAGCGACAAGCTACATGAGTTCCAGAAACAACTGGAGCAGCCAACACTGAAGTTTACCGCATACAATGAGATGGTTGTCAATTCAAAGTGCAGTGTCAGTTTTGGGCAGATCACTAAAAGGCCCGAGAGCACTCGGGACTCCGATAAAGCCAAATGTCTTCATATTGCTGTCGGACAATTCAACTTTCTGGCTCTCTGTCACTTGATGAAAGATATACTGGTGCATGTAGTCCTTCTCTCAAAGCATTTTCAAAGGGAAGACAGACTTCTCCACCTGTGGTTCACTATACTAACGAAGGACTGGGAGAGATATTAGTGCATCCTGGGCCCTCAGCGAGGGACTTTTTCGGCTCCCTCGAAGGTAACAACTTTAAAGCAGACAAACTGTTAGACGGTCATACACAAAAGCCTGCGTTTGACAACATGATACGTGGCCTGCTTGATAAGGAAGAGAAAAAAACACTCAACCTTCTCCTGTTTTCTTGTACCTTCAATGGAGAGGCGGTTGGCAATGAAAGACAGATTGACAACAAGGTAGGACAGTATTTACAATGAAGCTTGTGTTGTGTAATAATTATTTTGATACTCTCGTTTCATTGGTCTAGTATTATTCCCGCCCAAGATAATAATAATAATAATAATAATAATAATAATAATAATAATAATAACTGCTTACACTTATATAGCGCTTTTCTGGACACTCCACTCAAAGCGCTTTACAGGTAATGGGGATTCCAATGTGGAGCCCCACCTGGATGATGTGATGGCAGCCATAGTGCGCCAGAACGCTCCCCACACACCAGCTCTCAGTGGGGAGGAGAGCAGAGTGATGTAGCCAATTCATAAAAGGGGATTAAGATGCTGAAATCCCCCCAGTTTCACGTAAAGGGGGAACTCCCTCTCATTTTCAACAATTAATTTCAAGCCCTGACAAAAATCCTATGCATTATCCTTCAAGTAAACATTGTAGTGAAGGATAACGGGAGATTTACTGTTTGTTCTGCAGAGATAAGAAAAGAAGCTGCTGAAAATGGGCGACAGGCAGCGACGAAGAGCAGGCTCCTGATGTTGTCCCCGAGCTGGACGCTGGCATGCAAGAGGCTCCACAGATTCAGCAGCTCGTGTGCTGCAGCAGAACACCATTGCCGTGTGTGTGTGTGGGGGGGGGCAGGAATTAAAATCGAGTGCATTACAAGGCGGAGCGTCTAACGCAATGCAAAGCACAGAAAGGCCACTTTGAAAAAAGTGCACTATCCAGCTGAGAAAGTGTCAGCTGTGAAGAAATTGGCAATGTCCTGTGTGCAGAACAAGCACCTCCTGTTTTTTTTTGTTTGTTTCATAATATAATAATAATGTTGCTTTATTAACCCTATACAATTTCTTGCATTAGGAATTTGTCTTTTCGCAGACCCCAGCTCGCTCTCCATGAGACACACAGACAGGGAGAGAAGCTGGGGGTCAGAGCGCAGGGTCAGCCATTGTACGGCGCCCCTGGAGCAGGTGGGGTGAAGGGCCTTGCTCAGGGGCCCAACGGAGTAGGATTCCTCTGCCGGCTGTGGGATTTGAACCGACAGCCTTCCAGTCACAGGCGCAGATCCTGAGCCACAGAGCCACCGCACTGCCCCAATGTTGTGTTTTTGAGGCGTTCATGTTTTTCCTTTCCTCTTTCTAGAAACTGGAAGCGAGTTTGGCCTATCCAGCCAAAGTGATCGTTGGGCTTTCATCTTGAAAAGCTCTTCCTCATTTATCTTTTCTTTTTTCAATCCTGATAAGCTTTTCGGAGAACTTATTTAAAGCATTGTATGCGTCATTAAGTTTCTTTGAAATCTCTGCGCTCCTCACAATTCGAGGAATGGAAAGAAAAGGACATTTAGTAAACACAACAGCCTACACTGACACCACCAACGAACAAAGGATGTCTTGTATGTCTTGGATCAAAGCGTCACATTGCCTGAGGCACTGGACACAACTGACCAACATCTCATTAAAGCTCAATTGCCCACTTTATTTAGGGGGTCACGGGGGAAGGGCATCCTGAATTTGCCAATTGAATGATTTCATAATTTATTTTTATTATTTCATTTTAAGGACAAAAAAAAAATCTTCTTCTATGAAAACAACAAAAAAGAAATCTGCTCTTTGCAGCACATTCAATAAGCATTCCAGCTGGCACTTGTCAAGCTAGTCCTTACGTCTTAGCTAAGATAACACGCAAACTGTTTAATTCAATTCATTAAGCTGAAACAATACACCAAGAAAGTTTGGAAGCATGACAAATCCACCCTTGAACATGCAAATACCCTGTTGCTGCTTAGACATTGACGCTTGCACTGACCTACAATCTACCACACACATGGAATGGGCAGCAAATTATACATCAAAAGAAAATTATGAAAGTTGTCAATGTGGCACAGCAGTTAGGGTTGCAGGTACAAATCCCATGCGAGACGTGAGCGAGACTGATCAAGTCAAAACCCAGTTGTAAGTGGGTGTAAATATAAGTTGTCACACAAATAAACACACAAAAAAATGGAAATCCAGCTTCCTGACCCATTTTACAGATGGAAACAGGAACTGGCTGCTGACTCTAAACGCGTAATAAAACTTTCCAGTCTTGTAAAATGCATTGCACCACAACTCAGGTTGCAAAACCGAAGATTTTCAGGGTCATTCTTTCGAAACACTTCTAGAGTGATTGTATTAACTAACTCCTCTGCCTCTCCTGTCCGTGTGGTACTGGACTCTGTACCCTTTCATTGCTCTCCTGCTTCCTAAAGCATTAGTCACTTAGCAGCTTTCGCATAATTTCCTGAGAAATGCCAGAAGCCACAGAAATTGAAAGCATGAAGGAGAGAATGATTTGTCAAGGTAAACCAACACTCAACACGATGACCAGGCCAGGGCTGAACACTGCAAACTCCTCTCTTTACCTCTGTCGGGAACACACTCATACAGCACTGAGCACTGAGGCCTGCTAACCATCCAATTTCACCCACACCTGAGAACAGATTCCAAAGTACTCTTTAATATGTGGGATGTCATGGCCAAACCAAAGCAAAGTGTAGCAAAGCACAGTGCACGCCGAGGAGACTATGCTGAAATTATAATGCAGAGTAAAGAAAAATTAAGAGGTTGAGTATAGTGTTGTAAACAGTAAAATTGTAGTTAATCAGGAAGGGGTTTTGTACAGCACGGGGCAAACTGGAGGGAACTATGCCAAACTAGAGCATAATTCTGGTGTAAGTTAGAGCAGAATCACTAGAAAGATGCCTAAATACAGGGCAAATCCACTGCAATAAACTGATACAGGTGTCCCGCCAGGAAATTCAGATGTTTCTAATAAAAGTGAACTTTTTCCCTCCCCCTTTTTCCCCCAAAAGTTAGCATGGCTAGCCAGTTGGAAAAAGAACCCAGATCCGCACGTGAACTTGTCTTGGACAGATGCTGGGAGCCTGGAGGGGCGACAGCCAGATTGGGGGTGCTCTGTACCTGCAGGGTGATAATGTCCTGCCGGGTGAAGGGCTCATCGGTCAGCAGATCCTTGTAACTTTTGGTTTTGATATTAAGCTGTTCCACTGCCTGTGGCGAACAAAAAAAGAGCAGCGGTTTTACACAGCAAATCTCCAAGATCCTCCCAAAACAGCTGTGCACAGACACAGAATGGGCTCACAGTGGAGCATGAAGCTTTGACATTGTGTCCTCTTGGGTACTCCTGCACCTGAGCGACTCACCTCGTGAGAGAAGACATTCCCAGTCATGCGGTTGGCCACGATGTGGGAGTTATTTGTGAAGACAGTGTACAGCACAGGGCAATGGTACTTTCCTAATTCAGAATGGCACAAGAAAAAGAGAAAATAAGTATTACATATTTTTGTTTCCTCTAATACAGTATAAGGGACCAGATCTAAATGGGAGCAGTTCGCCACAAACTGACAGGAAGGGATACTTAAATATTTCCTAAAATATGGAGATGGCATTGTTCTATACAGATAATAATAATAATAATAATATTGCTTACACTTATATAGCGCTTTTCTGGACATTCCACTCAAAGCAGAACTGGACATTTTCCACTCAGACATTAATCATGTGTCATTTATTAACAATTTCATAATAAATTAACTTCTAGAAAGCGTGAAAAGACATGCACACCCTCCGTCTTTGCAATACTATAGTACCAACCACTGTGATTTAAAACACAGCCAGCCCTGGCTTAGAACGTGTCCCACAGTGCATTTGTGTCATGCAGGGTCTAGACCTGGGCTGAAACAAAGCAATGCAATGCATGTAGGGAGATCAAAATCGTACTGCTAGTGCAAGTTTATTTCTGGGAATACTAAATGTTTTAAAGAGATATTTAAAGAGAAGAAAAATCTTCACCCAAAAGGAAGGGGGGGGGTGTGTGAAACAAGCTCCATGTTGTTGAAGCCACTACCCTGGGTTCTTTAAAGGAAAAACTGGATGAGACTCTTGGATCAGTTAATTGCTACCTATCAAACAGGCCAGATAGGCTGATGGGCCTTCTTTCGTCTGTAAGCTTTCTTAAATAAAATAACTCCTTACATTTATATAGCTCTTTACTGGACACTCCACTCAAAGAGCTTTACAGGTCATGGGGATCCCCTCCACCCCCACCAGTGTGCAGCCCCACCTGGATGATGTGACAGTGGCCAGAGTGGGCCAGAACACTCCCTACACACCGGCTCTCAGTGTGGAGAAGCCAGTTCAGAGATGGGGATTATTAAGAGGCCATGACTGGTAAAGACCAGGAGGAAATCTGGGCAGGACACTGGGGTAACACCCCTACTCTTTTCGAGAAACACCCTGGGATTTTAAATGACCACAGAGAGTCAGGACCTCGGTTTTACGCCTCATCTGAAGGACGAGGTCTTTTTGTTAACAGTATAGTGCCCCCATCACCATACTAGGGCATCACGACCCACAGAGACTGCAGAGTAAGTGCTCCCTACTGGTCCCACTAACACCTCTGCTAGCAGCAACCTTAGCTTTCCCAGGAGTCTCCCATCGAGGTACTAGCACTGAGCTTCAGTGGGCTGCCGTTTGTGAGTTACAGGGTGCACAGATGCTGGCTATAGTACATTCTTGACACATGAACAAGCAAATAACCCACACTGACAGCCTTCTGTGGTGACCTGCAGACATGCTGCACGTTTGTTTGCAGTAAACACATTTAGTCGGTAAATCATAGTAAGCACTTACATAGCTTTGGCTGGGATTGCCACTGTGCTTTTGTGGTTACTTGCACTGTCAGCTTTCTAATTAAAACGACAAATCTTTCTGCTAACTTCATTCAAAGCTGCCTCCCAACAGCCAGTTGGTATTAAAGGAACGCTGCAGGGGGTGGGGGTGCAGAGACAGAGCGAGCCAGACCTCACGCTGCTGACGAATCCCAGACCTGTCCTGACCGCGCACTGCCAGTCATGCGCCAGCGCTTGGGCAGAGCCAGCCAGTGGCACGGCTCAGCTCCTTTCAGACATTCTATCTTAATGTCTCACCACCAACTGCTGGGATGACAGCACAGGCCTCTGCTGACAGGCTAAACGAACCTTTTCATTCTTCGACAGAAAAGACTTCAAGGGAATCTGGTATGATCCAGGAGTACTGGTGCTGTA